TGATCTATGGTAATACATTTCATCCACTTCGGAATGTTTGTGATCTATGGTAATACATTTCATCCACTTCGGAATGTTTGTGATCTATGGTAATACATTTCATCCACTTCAGAGTGTTTGTGATCTATGATAATACATTTCATCCACTTCCGATGGTGTTCTTTGTGTTGGGCCTGGTTTTGAACTACTGCTCTGCAATGCAGATTCTACTGCCCATGACTTTTTCATAACACAGTTTTCAGTGTTCTTATATCACTATCTTTAGCAGTAAAATTGGAAGTATGATCAAGTATGAGTTTATAAAACATATGTCTAGTTGTTTAAGTCTAGATGGTGTCAAAGGTATGCAAATTATTGTGTAGTTATACAAGTCTTGATCAAACTTCGACTTTTACTCCTGAAGATGGTGATGTAAGAACACCAAAACATTGAGTATGTTTAGGGCTGGTTCCTGTTTTTAATAAATTATTTATTGTGCAATTTTTTTAACATTGTACTCCTTTTAATTGTATGTATATATATATATATATATTGCACAAGAGCCTTTTTAACTTATTTATTTCTAATTTTCTCTGCTTCTAGGTTGATATGTGAAGAAACTTTTCAAGCAGACAAAGACTTGGCCCAAAAGTCCAGTAGAAATGTGCCAAAGAAGCCATCTTATTTAAAAAGAGATTTAGATGCTCGAGCCCATAGTGAAGCTTACAGGTTAGTAGTAACATTCTGAGGTTGCTACATAACTTAATCTTCTTAGTAGTAAAACACACTAGAAAAAGACCACAAGATATTGAAAAATATTTTAAAAGGGTAAACCAGAAGTCTATAACAAAAAACTTCTAATGTTCCAAGGTATTACCTTTGTCAGGCTTAGCTACTAAAGAAACGAAGGCCATGAGCATAAAGTATAGCAAATAAAACATGTCATGTACATGAGTTTTAACTTCTTAATAGTAAGGTCACTATTGGGGTTTCCTTTTTGCAAAAATATTGAATGTTGTTCCTATTACAAAAGTAGTACACCAGAAAAAAGCTTAGTATATTTCAGATTACCAATTTTACTAAGATATCTCCATCAGTGAACGAAATAAACATTGTGACTTCCTGGACAGATGTATGTACTATCTTTAACTGTTTAAACATTGTGACTCCCTGGACTGATATATGTATTATCTTTAACTGTTTAAAAGTTTCCAAGGGGCAGCTTCTGTCCAACTGCAACAACTTTGATAATAGCTCATTTAACTGTTTAAACATTGTGACTCCCTGGACTGATGTAAGTACTGTCTTTAACTGTTTAAACATTGTGACTCCCTGGACAGATGTATGTACTGTCTTTAACTGTTTAAACATTGTGACTCCCTGGACTGATGTAAGTACTGTCTTTAACTGTTTAAACATTGTGACTCCCTGTAGAGATGTAAGTACTGTCTTTAACTGTTTAAACGTTGTGACTCGCTGGACTGATATATGTATTATCTTTAACTGTTTAAAAGTTTCCAATAGGCAGCTTCTGTCCAACTGCAACAACTTTGATAATAGCTCATTTAACTGTTTAAACATTGTGACTCCCTGGACTGATTTATGTATTATCTTTAACTGTTTAAAAGTTTCCAATAGGCAGCTTCTGTCCAACTGCAACAACTTTGATAATATCTCATTTAACTGAATTAAGTTCTTGTCTTGGCAGTGATGAAAAAAATAATCCATCTATATCAACAAAAATATCTTAAAATTCAATTTTAATTAGTATGAATGAAATATTATTCATTAAAATTGATGTTTATGCTGTCACTAGTTTTGAAAGTTTTAATTGTACAAATATCAGTGAACATGTATTTTTTTAGCAAATTTTATGAAATCTTTTAAAGACATCTGTTCACTGCTTTTTTATGTGAAAAATGCTTTAAAAAAAAACCTGTAAAGAATGGTAGTAAAAAAGAATCGTATCGGGAACAATTTTCCCCACAAAACATCTAAACTCTGTTGAGTTGTTTGTGTGTACATTTCGGATAAAGTTACATGTCTGTTCAGGAACTTTTAAGTCATACAAATTAAACAGTCATTTCATGATGGAGATATAGATTTATATGTGTGTGCATTCATTGAATAAACTAAACTGTTAATGTTGTGGTAATTTTGCTTTGTTGACACTGTGAAGTGTAAAGTTCTTTCCCTCCTTTTTCTCGTGCAACCCACTTAGTTTGTTAGAATATTCAGATACAAAGGTGATTGACTGTTGTAGAAATTACAAATTGAAAATAAACCACACCTAGTGTAGCATCACTCTCTCCCATTTCTCGACTGTTGAGTTTTGAGAACACTGAGAGGTGATACATCTGATGTGAGAAGTATAATAAAGAGAGTTCTTAACTAGTGGAAGAAAGTACAAGTTTATATCTGTGTATATGAAAAGTAACTTAGTCTGGTATCATGTTTTATTTTTTTCATACTCACAGACAAAAGGCAAATTTTATGTGTTTTGGTGATCTGATACTCAGTTGCCTGGGTTGCATAAGCCTATTAGCTTCCACTAACACAGACAATAAGAGAAACTTCACGTACTTCATAGCTTTTATACATGGTCATGCAGAAAATATATATAGATCCATTAGCATTTTGTGATAAATTGATAGTTATACTTTATAGTTATAATTGATGGTACTTTAAGAACAGTAATATCTGACCATATAGACTTTTATCTGTTCGGCAAGAAAGTCTTGTTAATATGGTTTTCAAGCATTTAACCTAATCTGTTGCCCTATAAGAGAATAGTTCTTGTTTTCATATCTTTTTTATTATTTTTGTAGAATGACTTTTAGGTTGCCAAGAGATGAAAAACTTGATGGGAGCACCGAATGCACTCTTTGGACTCCATACAACAAACAACATGTTTGGGGAAGGCTATTTATCTCTTGTAATTATATCTGCTTTGAAAGTCGAGTAAGCTGAATCTGAAATAAAAACACGTCACAATTACCAGTCAGGCAATTTTAATCTCCATCACCACAAGCCAGGCTTTTTGAATCCATATCACACTTACCAGTCAAGATTTTTTATTATACACAGCATAGTTAAAAATCACTTTTTTTTTTAATTATTGCCTTTATGACAACCGTCTACTAAATGGTATTAAAAACTTGTATTTACTTATGTAGTAATCTTACACAAGTATGGAAAATTATTTTAGCAATTAAAAATGAAAGAAACTAAAAAAAATATTGTAATTTCTTTTGTACTCAATATGTTGACCAATTTCTATTACCTTATTTTTTAAATTTTATTTTGCTAATGAGGGTTAAAGAAAGTTGTTTTTTGATCTTAATTACATTGTTAGATTTAATTACATTTCCAAAAATTACTATCTGATATAATATTTAAACATTACTGAAAGTTTTTATTTGTTAAATGACATACTCATCTGTATGTAACTTAGGACATTGAAGGTCAAGCAGTTTTAGTTACTTTAGGATTTCTCATATTAAACTATCAAATTCAAAAATTACTTACTAGCATCAGAGTTAAAGGTAATGTATTTTTATATATAAATATTAAACTAGATCAAAACCTGTGCCTGTATCAAATTACGTTACCAGTTAAATAATTGTGTTATAAGTTAGGATTCTTTACTGGTTTTTTTAGGTTAAAAATTTGGTGTATGTAATCATTCCTTTGAGAGACATTGCCCTGGTGGAGAAAGTTGATAGCAATTCATCAACCAATGTTCTACAGGATGCATTAATTCTCACTACCAACTCAAAAGTAAGAGTAAAACAAAAATCCTCTTTTTGTTTGTACGCTTTCTTGTTTTTTCATTGTATTTGGATTATTTACATTAAACTCCTCAAACAAGGAGTGATATTTAAGGTTTTTGATATATGGTTTGTAATTAAATATTACAGATTCAAAATTTTGTGTTTATTTTTATATTAATATAATCTAATTGTAATAAATTGGTTATGTTGAACTTCTAAGCCTTGTCAGTAATAAACGATAAGTAATCATGACTGAACATTTATAACAAATATTTTGTTTTATTGCAGAAAAAAAAAAAAGCTAAAAAAATTTAAAATGCACAATGTTGCGTATGTAATGTTCATGAAATTATACTGTTGCTGTTTTTTTTTTATATATTTCAGGTAAATTTTCTGTTTGCACAGTTACCAGATAGAGATTTTTTACTAGAAAAAATTTCAGAGCTCCTGGCTAAAGTACCAGTGAATAACAGGTATGACCGGAAATATTTGAAATCAATGGAAATAAAATATTCTTGTTCTAAAACGATTCACTCAGTTTGAATTTAACTGTTCTAACAATTGAAAAAATAGCTTTAAAATAACTTCTTGACTATAGTACAGATAAAAAAAATAATTTTGAAAAATCCCGGCAAAGCATGACAATCACTAATGGGTCTTTTTTTCCTGTGAGTTTGATTTTGTTAACCCCTTTTACCGCATAATTTCGTTATATTTTCTCTATGTTTTATCATAATTTAGGTAAGTTACTGATGACATAACATCAATATATGCAATGTAAGTGGGTCTTATATAATAACATATAATACATTGAAATTTACTGCTAACTTATGAAGTTTTTGATGGAGAAATGACACTAATTGGGGACTGACCATGAAATATTCAGCTGATATCTTTCTGCATGGGTGCCTCGTGTTGTCTGCCAGTAGGGGCCCTAGCTGAGGGATTGTTCATACTTGTATTTCCTGTTCATGCTTCCAGATGTCAGTACACCTGGTGTCTGTTGTTGCTTTCCATTGTACAGGGAAAAATGTTTCGATGGCCATGGAGAAAAGTCAATATCTGCTGTCAACGACAATTAATTTTCAGTTAACTATAGTTGTTTTCCGTGATAAAAGGGTTAAAAGGAAAAAATTAACCTAAATGAAGGATGATTTAGTGTGTTTAAGCTTTAAACATGATCAGGCTAAGCTTCTATTACTTTTATTTAAAATATTTTGATATATCATGTATGTTTGGAATATTCTGGTTATCGGGAAGGTCTGTTTTTTAGTTGTATCTTAAGTATTTAAATAGCAGTCTATAGAAGTCTTAGTTTCAGCTGTTAACACGTTTTGAAAAATAATTTGCTTTTAAATTTTTCATAATATTTAAATTTTATTCAGTGGTTTCTTTTGTGAATGTACACTCATGAAGATATCCAACTTACTATGTCTGAATCAAAAGTATGTATTTGCAACTGTATAACTGATAAATGAATATAAAACACAACCAAATTAACTCTTTTCAGATTGGCTTGGTCAAATTGACCAAGTTTGTAACCATGGGGCACTCTTTACAGTTTCCATACTATAACTTTTAATACAGTATGTGTATCTTCATAAAATTTGGCTGACTTTCAGTAAACATTACAAGTCTTTTGTACATAAAAAAATCAAATTTTTTAACAAAGCATTTTTACTGAAGATTTGTCCATGAATATATCGAGTCTTTTTTTTTTTACTATTATGAATGCAAAGTGATTTTCGTGTTAAGTTTGAAAATACTTTTCTTCATCTCAAAAATCTCAAAATTTTCATTAGCGTAATCTCTAAAACTTCTTAAATAAATTTCAAACATTTTTCTTTTTAGTAAAACTTTATATTTTATCTGTTATGTATTCTATTCTAACTCTGTACAAGGTAGGTAAATTTGACCGACCTCATAACCACTAAAAAAAATCAGTATAAATCTAAATTATCTTTTTTTCTTTCTAGAATGACTTCAAATTGTAACATGAAACTAAATTTGTTTATCCTAAATAGCTTTAAATTTGTAACAGTATACATCTGTTTATGCTTAAATTTTGTTATTTTATTGCTCTTCGAACTGTGTCAAACTAATATTCACACCATATATGTTGTAAATCATTTGGCAAATGTATAGCTCATGTTACAATATCAAATTACATAATGCACGGGCTACTCATGAGCATTCCTTGTGAAAATGTTTTATCATACTTTATTTTACCTAATCTAACCTAAAGATTTCTCCATTTTAATTACTTTTATAACAATAAATAAAAAATACACATGAAAAACAAGAAAAATAGTAATTACCTAGGTCTTCTTCTACTTTTTTTTTTTTTTTTTGCTGTAGACTTTTGATGACACTTAACCCTACATTTTATACTAATGGTAGAACTGCACTAAGTATTTTTTTTATTCCATTAAATAATGCACCAAAGAAGATAGAATAATAACATGCAAAAAGCAGACAATGTCTCTTAACTATCACAGTGTGACAAGAGCCATTAAAAATTCATCTAAGCTCATCAGTAAGTTTCCCGTGGGAATAAAGCTGGAACTGAAAGCAAAATTGACAATTCTCTGTACAGAAAACAATGAAATATAATACATCATTTGATAGATTAAAACCTTGACTTTCTATTGGTTATAAATAATGTAGTATTAAAAGTCAGAGAAAACTATTGGCAATTTCTGAAAGAGAGGAGGTGACAGGTAGGTGTGGTAAGAGGGGTCTGATTTTGTATTTTATTGCTTTGTAACTAAATAAGATTGAAGGCTATGAAAATTATGCTTTACCTGAGTGATTATGTCATTAAAATGAGTAATTTACGTTAAATTCTGTACTTTTTGGAGGGGTGGTAAATATATTGGAGAAGAGGAGATGGCTAGAGAGAAAATGTCACAGTTTTAATAATTCAGATTTTTTTTTTTAATATTGCCTTATAAAGTTAAGAACGTAAAACTTGTATACTATTAAAATTTGGATTATTAGCTACAAATTTATGCCAAATTTAATTGTATTTTATGATAAGAAAGTACTTTTAATTAAAACCTCATGACATTTGCAGAAAAAGATGCCAGTGGTGGAAGGGTTGAAAATGAAATAAAAAACAATAAGTTATACCATTTGTCAAGAAAGTATAAGAAGCACTATTTTAAAGGGAAAATTTCTGTGATAATTGCTTCTAATATTATTATTATTTTGTAATAACAGTTTGTGTATGGAGGTTTTGTGCTTTACAAATGTATAAATTATAAAGGTGATTTTTGTAAATATCTATTTTTACTCCCGAGTGTTAGTGAGTTTTAACACCGGACATGGCCCTTACTTGATTTCTCCTGCAAGTTTTCTTGTTCATTATTTGTTTTATGCCTGATACTTGGGAAATCTCCAATGTTTATTGGAGCTAATATGTGAACTTTCCTTTTAAAATTATATCAGTTGTACTTCTTTGACAAATAGTATATTAATTTTGTTTGCATTTCCATTTATATTTATTTTTGTTTCTTGTGGGTAGGAACATATCTGTAGGTACATGTGAATGTACACTTTTAGTCATCCTTAGAAAATATTAATAACAATAAGTATCTCAATGTTTTTACAGACCAGCAACTAACCTCAAGGAAACAGGCACTGATGACCTCGGTGAAGATAACAGTAAGTTAAACAAGAAATATTTGATAGAATACTTTAAAATCTACAAATCTTTATTTTACATAATTCCCACAAGCTTGAAGGTGTTCTTGTAGCTCTTTTCTAAGAAATTACTAGCGTTATTACTCAGTTTTCTGTGTTTTTTGTTAATAATTGCATGTTATAAGAGCAATATTCTAGGTCTCACACTCTCTTAGGAGCTACTTTCTCATTTGTAGCTGTGCTCAATGTGATAAACTTTTTGCAAAGAATGACTAAGTCGATCACAGACTACACATTTTGACAAACTTTCTAAAGACCTTCTATTGTATTTAGACATCAAATTTCAAAACCACATTTAAGCAGACTGAAGGAACAAAGGTTAAACTCGAGCTATATTTGACAGAGATGTGGTTGTGAACAGGATCCCACTTTCTTCAGCCATATTCCTCATCAAAACAGCTGTTGATTTTGATGTGTAGCAGGAAACTTAAACTTTTGATTTGTGAGCTTTTGACAACTTTAGATTCCTTATTTATGACTATGTTAAAAGTACTGGGAGATATTTCCAGCCCAACTTCGTTGCAATGGGTTTGTAACCATAAGAGAGAGACTTAAATTTTTGAGCTGAGGTTGATGCTGTTGAGTATTTGAGGTATGGTTTCTGAGCCTATTACTCTCCTTAATCCACTGTTCTGTGAGTTTTCCCTCTTCCATGGAGAACTTTAAAGGCTTTTGTTTGTTTAACAATCTCTCTGTATGTATATTTCTCTCCAGGAAAGCTTTTTATATTCCTAGAGCTTTGTCTACCCTTTGCTGCATTGCACTGTTAAATGTTTGGTAATTTATTGTGAACACACCATTTCATTAACATATACAAATTGTTAAAAATGAAAGTACAATCAACCCTTTACGTGAGAGAGCGTCAAAACTATGTAGTTGATACTGTCTTCTAAAAAAACAGTTGTTAAAGTAATAACTACTGTATTTTATCTGATAATTGATTAACATTGACAGTATAAATTGTAGTCAAGAAAGTGACATAATTAACATGCACATCAAATTGGCTAATGACTAGATTTCTCTTTCAGCTACATACCTTACTTTAGATTCTTGGTAAGTTATTTCTTTAGTCAAGCTAGAAAGAATGCTGACACAAAACAGTTTTTATTGGTTTCATTAACACATTACAAATGATACAGTAAAAAATTATTACTCCATTTCCAAACAGTAATAAGTAAAAGGTAGTTTAGAAGAAAATAAAGTTGATTCCTGAGGTAAAAAGATTTGATTGCAACATGTAAAAAAAATAGGGTATTTAATGCAAAATTAACTTTGCCTAATTCAGTTCAAGCAAAGTGAAAGAATTTATTTTTCTTAAAGTTGCTGTGGTTCTTAAGCCTTTAAATCAACTTTGTGTTTTTTTTATTTTAAATAAAAACACATGATGAAAAACTTTCATTTTGATGGTTACTTTTATTTATTTTGAACATAGACGACTGAATGAAACTTGACTTGATGTTTGACTAGAAATCATCCCGTGACCCGACACTTATATATGTGTAATATTACAAGTACAGACATGTTGTTCTTGGAAGTTGTGATATTAACTGAAAATATTTCATTAATCAATATCAACTTCAATAACATAGAGTCTTAATTTGTGAATATTAGCCTAATACCTCATGCATCACTAATTTTAAAACCTGGTTGTTAAGTATTATCATGTCATTGTTTTTATCACAACATGTTTCGGTGTTTCTGGTGTAAGAAAAATGACAAATTCTATCGATCTGTATTATTATTGAAGCAGACAGATTTTTTTAAACAGTTACTTAATGTTACAAGTATTTATGTGTGATATTTTAGTAAATGTGTTTAACAGATCTATTCTTTGCTTCAGAAGTGTTTTGCATGATGAATTTGCTTGTAAAGTTAAGAAAAAAAGTATACAATATATCCTAAGCTTACTATTTGAAGGTTTTTATGTTGAACAGCAATAGAAAATAATCTGAGGTAGTGTAAATAAAACCACAATAAGGGGAGTATTAGCCATTCACACTAGTGGATTTAAAAAAAAACTAATTTATAGGAAACATTTTTTAGGTATATTTAAGATGATGTAACCAGTTTGTAAAACAAACACTGATTGAATACGTAGAACAGTTAATATGTGAAAGTGTATCGATAAGAAAGGTGGTTAAACATTTAAAAATTGAACAGTTGACGTGTGAAAGTGTATCGATAAGAAGGGTGGTTAAACATTTAAAAACTGAACAGTTAACGTGTGAAAGTGTATTGATAAGAAGGGTTTCACACGTTAACTGTTCAATTTTTAAATGTTTAACCACCCTTCTTATCGATACACTTTCACACGTTAACTGTTCAATTTTTAAATGTTTAACCAGTGTATCGATAAGAAAGGTGGTGTAACATTTAAAAATTGAACAGTTAACGTGTGAAAGTGTATCGATAAGAAAGGTGGTTAAACATTTAAAAACTGAACAGTTAACGTGTGAAAGTGTATTGTTATTTTTTATCAATTCACTTTCACACGTTAACTGTTCAATTTTTAAATGTTAAACCATTTTTTTTATCAATTCACTTTCACACGTTAACTGTTCAATTTTTAAATGTTTAACCATATTTTTTATCAATTCACTTTCACACGTTAACTGTTCAATTTTTAAATGTTTAACCATATTTTTTATGGGTGGTTAAACATTTAAAAACTAAACAGTTAACGTGTGAAAGTGAATTGATAAAAAAATATGGTTAAACATTTAAAAATTGTAATTTTTCAAAATGCTCAAAACAATTATGATATATTTTCAATTTCTTATTGTAAAAAGAATATGAAATCTAAAAGTATATATTAATCTAAAACATTTCATATTTAAACTGGTATGAATCTGACTTTTTGAAATGTTTTTGAATTATCAACCTGATCTTTCTATACAATAGGTATGTGTAACTTTGCTTTATAAGGACTAAAGATAAAAGTAAAATGTTTTGTAAATTCCACGTTTCTGTATATATATATATTTATCATAGGTTCATACATCTCGTGGGAGCCTCAGCCAGCACTGTCTACGTTGTTTCATGTTGAAATCTCCAGCCACATTGAAGCTCAGGAAGCTAACAAGCTTCAGCTATGGAACATTCATTTTGCTGAATATGGAAGGTTGGTATGTCGCACCTGGACAGATTTTACCTCATTGTAAGAGACAGTGAACAGAAATTCTGGATAGCTGTGACGTTAATTACTTTTGTTTATTGTTTTAACACTATATACATATCAAGTATTAATCTACCGGAGATCTTAGGGTGGAATATCAGCCCCATGTTCTCAGCAGAAATTTCCCAGGAAATAAATTCATGTTTTCACACTGTCTGTTGTAATTTCTACAAGTTGTAGTAATATATATATATATATTAAAGTTCCAGTAGAGAGGGACACTATATTTTAAGAATTTGTTATATATATATTATTTTTAACATAAATATCATGAAGACTATGCTATCGAACCCGGCACGGCCAGGTGGTTAGGGTGCTCGACTTGCAATCTGCGGGTTGCAGGTTTGAATCCCCGTCCCAACAAACATACCCTTTCAGCTGAGTAGCCAAAAAGTTGGCAGTGGGTGGTGATGACTAGCTGTCTTCCCTCTAGTCTTTCACTGCTAAATTAGGGACAGCTAGATCAGATAGCTGTCGTGTAACTTTGCGCAAACTTCAAAACAAACAAACTATGCTACCTGACATTTACCCGAACATACAAACCACTTGAACACAAGCATAAAATAACTCCGAGGATCTGACTAGGCTCGACTGATTTGAACAGTCTTGTGAGATTTAATATCGAGGATCCTCCAAACTTATGTAATGAGAATTGCAAAATAATTGCTTGAACCTTTTAAAAAATTCTTCTCTAACAGTAATTGTTCAGTGTGTGAATATTATAAATCTGATGGTTTTTTTATTTATGTATTGTGTTCTGTACACATCATGGTCCAGATCATTGTTCAATGTGTGAATATTATAAATCTGATGGGTTTTTTATTTCTATATTGCATTCTGTACACATCATGGTCCAGATCATTGTTCAGTGTGTGAATATTATAAATCTGATGGTTTTTTTTATTTATGTATTGTGTTCTGTACACATCATGGTCCAGATCATTGTTCAATGTGTGAATATTATAAATCTGATGGGTTTTTTATTTATGTATTGCATTCTGTACACATCATGGTCCAGATCATTGTTCAGTGTGTGAATATTATAAATCTGATGGGTTTTTTTATTTCTATATTGCATTCTGTACACATCATGGTCCAGATCATTGTTCAGTGTGTGAATATTATAAATCTGATGGGGTTTTTTATTTATGTATTGCATTCTGTACACATCATGGTCCAGATCATTGTTCAGTGTGTGAATATTATAAATCTGATGGGTTTTTTTATTTATGTATTGCATTCTGTATACATCATGGTCCAGATCATTGTTCAGTGTGTGAATATTATAAATCTGATGTTTTTTTTATTTATGTATTGCGTTCTGTACACATCATTGCCCATACTGTTAAAACGATACTTGTGTGTTTGAAGTCAGTTATGGAAGTAAAATGTTTCCTAAATATTGTACACTCTCCTTCAAAATCTCCCCTTTCACCTGCTCTGCCCTGATTTGAAATTTGGCCGATTAATTCATATGTATATCTGTGTATGTAAAAATTAAAAAAATTAATACTCTAAAAAGATTTGTGTTAAACTTTTCAAGAAATAGCAGATTGTTTCTTTAATTGTGAGAAGTGTTTAAAAACTTTCATGAAAGTTTTTCCTTTATAAATTCTTTTAAATACATTACAGTTTTTGTTCTCAAATGTACTAGTGTTTATTTGTATGAATATATGATGTGAAATAAACAATTCTTTCAGCTGTTAATATCAGTCTTCAAATTGAAAACACAAGAAGGATAAGAATATTACTTTCTTTCACACAGAGGGCTCTGTTCCTACAATAATTCCAGAGCTCAAGAGTTGGTCCTCAAAGGGATACCTGACAAGCTCCGCGGAGAATTGTGGATGCTTTACTCTGGAGCCATCAATGAGGTACATGTTAAACACATCTATTGTTTAAGGAAATATTAAGTAGGTCATAATTCATGCTCTAGTGTAGTGTTTATAAACCACCAATCAGAAGACCAGTGCAGGGCCATCACAACCATCTTGCTAGTCTGTGGGATTTCACAAAAACTGACAAAATATTCATACATAAGTCTTAATGGTTTTTAACTGTGCTTGCATTTTAGTGGTCCTTGATAATTTAGGGAGGAAGCGAGCCAGTCCCTAGTATTGTGAAGGTTGAGAAACATAAATATTTCTATTTACAAAATTTTAATAATATCAGATGATTGTGGAGTACTACAGTGGAAAAGTTTAATCACATGACAATTGAATGTCCAAATATTGCCCAGTTAATTATTTCTGTTAAGAAGATAAATAATATTATTGTTCATATGAATATCATTAAAAAAGGATGATGTAGCTTTTGTGACTTAAATGAAAATATGTTGGTTGATTGCAAAATTATTCATTTGTATGTAATGGCTAAACTAATCCACCTTTTTTAAATTTCATTCAAATATAAGGATTGTTCCTCTTAATATTATACATTTGTCATACGTAAATATTATGACATACCTTCTAGTGAATAATACAACTGACATTATACATTTGTCATACATAAATATTATGACATACCTTTTAATGAATAATACAACCGCCATTATACATTTGTCATACATAAATATTATGACATACCTTCTAATGAATAATACAACTGCCATTATACATTTGT